AATAGAATAGAATAGAATAGAATAGAATAGAATAGAATAGAATAGAAGCTGGAAGGGACCTTGGAGGTCTTCTAGTCTAGCCCCTGCTCAAGCAGGAGAACCTATACCATTTCAGATAAGTGACTGTCTAGTAGTCTCTTCTTAAAAATCTCCGCCTTGCAAAGATTTGATCTCCTTTTAAACAGACTGAGATGATAGACATCTAGTTTGTGTTACAAAATGCAGGAAAGAGAAACATTGCTTTTAAATGTTCCAAGAAGTTGGGGCAAAAAAGCTGCACACTTTTCCTGTGGGTCAGTTTTATAAGTCTTCCAGTTCCTATCATGATTATTGCAGTCTGATTTGATGCAATCTAAAATTCTACTCCTATTAATTTCTCTACAAAGTCTAAAAAGCTCTTATGCCTCAAGGCAGTATAGCTACACTATGTCAGCTTCCTAGATCTCTATGATTCATTTTAAAAACCTGTGACTCCTTATCTCACTGATCTAATGGGCTTTCCACTCTCTAGAGCAGCTTATAACATTTGTATGTATACGGAAAATTATACATAACAGACCCTCTTCTTTCAATTTCTTTGAAAATCTATGGCCAAATGGTATGCAACATTGAAAATTCTTACTATCCCATATAAAGGATTTTTTAACCCAACTACTATGTCACCTACAGATACAGGGCAAACATGCAAAATAACAAGAAAGTTTATCTCAGACTAAGCAAATTTTCTGTTTCAGAATCAGAATTTTATCAAGAGAATAGTAATAAAGACTATTTGAAAAAAAGAAAAAGAAACTGCTGAAGTAGCAGTAGCTTAGTAAATCAAACTCCATGCCTAAAGACCAAACTTTTAAGCAAGGAGTTATCTAGCTTTTTCCCTTCTTTTCATAATCATTTTATTAAAATTTACAATGGAAAGATAAAAGACTAATACAAACTAAGAAAAATATAAAAAAAAGAAAGAAAAGCAGAGATAGAAAAAAAAAAAGAAAAAAGATACATAAAAGACGACTCCCCACTTCCTCTAAACAAGTCTAAACAACTTCAGTAACTTAATGCCTTTTCTAGTATTTCAATTAAGAAAGTAAAATCTCTTCTTTGCTCATTAATAGTTCAATTGTAAAAACCCATCACTCAGTCCTAATCAGCTACCGTCTATTAAGCACTACTAGAAATAGTAGCCTACATATACATACATACATACAGAGAGAAAGAGAGACTTCAAATAAATTATTTTTATAAACCAACATTACTAGAAATAAAGCAAAAGAAATGTATCCCCATATATAAACAGATCTTTAAAATTTTGTCATTGAGTCCTGATCAAAAAGAAATTCCATTAATAGCTACCAGGAACCACAATATATATATTTTAATCCTGGTCAAATAAATTCACTTTACATTCTTTTTGTTTACTTTTAAAAAGCTTGATCTTTAATCCCATCAAATAAAGTTCCATAAGTTATTTCCTATCATTTTCTCTTTGTTTTCTTTCCTTTCCAGCTTCAGTAATTTAGCACATTGCCTTTGTAAATCCAAAGTAAGAAAAACTTTCCAAATCATTCTTCTGATTTATTATTTGTATGTCCTCTTTTGTTATTAAGACATCGGCTAGTTCAAATGTATGTTTATCATGGTATCCTTTTCCATATAAACTCTTGTACTCTGGCACTTTTACATCTATTTTCATATCCATATTGAAATATCCATTTTACCTAGCAAAATCTATTCCTCTTCCATAGCCTCAGTTATATCCTTCTTCATAGTATCAAACAACATTGCAAGTAAATTGTGAGTATATTGTTCCCAAGCAACCTTAATTTCTTCCAGAGTCAAATAATATTGCTCTACTGAATTTAATGGGCATCTTCTCTTTTAATTGCAATATTTAGTTCTCTTTGGTTCCCTCAAGTCAATCTTCAAAGTCCCCTTTTATTTGTTTATTTTCCAATCAACAAAACTTTCTCACAGGAGGATTCCTTACAGTTAATTTTAAAATCTTAACATATTCTTTTATATAAAGTTAAATATCCCATAGGAAATATTCCTTCAAATCCATTTAGTCCTTTAACTTGCCAAAATCAACATTCTCATCCCCCTTTTGCTATTGTTCAAAAAGTTAGTTTTTCTTTTTAATCCTTAAAGTTACATAAAATTTCCTTCATCTAGAATAGAAGGAAACTCTCTTGGCACGATGAACATTGTTCTCAGGGGCTGTTAAGAACCAGAAAATCATTAGTAATCAACTTTCTAAAGTATTTAAGAGAGTAGGTAGGACAATTCAATGTCCATTTGAAGATGCCAAACCACAACTTAGGCAGGGTGATTTCTCCCTCTCTTCGTCAAGCTCTCAAACCCTTTGGAGATCACAATTTTACAATTTCTTTGCAGAGGGGCTCTGAATGGAGCAAAGATATAGATAATCCTAGCACTCTTTTTGATCTGGAGAGATGTTCCAAGAAGCTGATCCATTCACTGGTTCCTCTTTTCCTCATGGCCATTTGTTCTGCTCTTGTAGTGCCATCTTCAAACCATTCAATTAGTAAACTTAATTATCATCTAAGTTATTCATTTGACCAGCATACTAAATAACTGTATGAGCCACACAAGACAAATATAATGTCTGTAATATTTTTAAAGTAGCAAACTGGACTTAGTTCAATAAAGGGTGCTTTGAAAACAAATAGTTTATACTCATTTCTCCCAAATGCCCTTTTTTTTTTCCCCTAGAAAGGGATGTGGAACAAAGGCCACATTTGCACATATCTCTCATTTGAACCCTTTGTATTGGTTGTGTATGCTGACATCTGCTGACACAGCTCTTTGGGGGAAGATAATTTATATTTCTATAAATATATCCACTGTTGTAGGTTGTACTAATATGATAGCATCTGCTTCCAAACATCTGTTATTTTATCAACACAAATATGGAGTTTGTATAAAGCCCTGGGGGAAGTTTTAAAAATTAGATTCAAAATCTTAAAACTACTCTATATGCCAAGCAGGATCGTGACACATCATGCAATAAAGATTATGTGCCATCAGATTGTTTTCAACTGTGACCTCATAGATGCAATTAAAAAAGAGTCTCCTTCATAGATATATCCACACAGGGTTTCCTTTCTTTTAGCAAAAACATAGAAATGGTTTATCATTAACTTCTTCTAGGATGTTTTTTCAACTTTCCAGTCTAGCCAACAGCCCTGCTATTCACTGAAGATCTTTCATCTTATCTGATCTGATCCTGCTTAATTCCTGAACCAAGTTAATGCCAACCAGGTATTACCACCTGCTAAAAAACAGAATAACACAGCTGAAAAGTAAAATATGTAATTATAGGAGAGACAGGGCCTTAAGTCTGCATAAAGATGAAGGGGATAACTCTTAATACTTTGCCACATTGCTCTTAAAATAATTAAGTTTAAGAGGACATTATCAAATCTAGTCCAATTATACAGTCATTTGTTTGCACCACACATAATATCTCTATATGTTTGCTGCCCAATTACAACACTGATAAAATGAAAAAAATAATACTGAATATGTTGTAATGTGTCTGGTTGAAAATTTTCTTGGTGGGAATATTCATCTGTTTAAAGGAGCTGAAAGGAGCTTCCATGGGGATCTAATACAGGGATGTCCTAGAAAGGATTTGAAGTTCCAAACTCACATTTCTCAGTCTTATTTGTAACATTTCACTATAGACTCTCAACTCTTTCTTAATTTCCCATTTTCTCACCTGAAAAAAGTATGATGTTCAATGCAAACTTTCCAGAGTCTCTTAGCTGAGCGATGGTTGGGCAGCTTGAAACCAATGGTACTCTCAAACTGCTCATACTGAAAACACAAGGGGGGGGGACGAGAATTGTCAGTCAACCACAAACTGTGCCACAAGGAATACCATGAGGCTCTCTGTGCTTCTGCACATGCATTCCTTTGTCCATGTGCTTTCTTTTTGTCTCCAAGATGGGAGGAAAGCATTTAATTACCTAAATCACTGTCCTAAATGCAGTACTTCTGCAGAGAACTGGGCAAATTTGCTGTCAAAACAGGGGTAGAGGCTGCAGTACCCAGCAAACAATGGAATCAAGGAGACTGACAGTGGTAGGTACAGACAGTGGATACAGGGAAAAAGTAAAATGATCAATAAAGTAGTCTAGTTTTCCCAGAGTAGACAAATAAAATGAAGACAAGAGCTCTCAGGTCCTTATTTTCCTTTAAAGGAGTGGGAGAAACAAGCCTTCACAATTATAATGGCCCAAGACGGTACAAAGGTAGCTTCACAAATGAAAGGTGGCTTCTTTTAAGTCCCCAAAGGACAACAGGCTGATCAGTTTCTCTCTTTAGGATTCTTGTTCCTCCCTACAACTCTTTCGGTTCTTTTGCTTCCTAGGGAATGGAGTTTTGAACATGACAAGCTTTATAAATAATTATATAACTGACCTAATTTCTTGCAAACTACTGACAAGTGTTTCTCCAATGGGAATATCAATCTCAAGGAAGACCCACTGGCTATTCCCACCACTACAAAAGCCATTATTTGCTAGGCATTCAGTCTTTCTGGCAGCCACCATGGAAATAGTTGTAGAGGCACAGAGCAAGCCCAGCAACTGAATGAGAAGAACAGTTCTACTGCAGGCCAATCAGAGTCTGGGGGTAGGTGCTGCTTCCAGATGAATCGTAATGTTTGCTGGAGAAGGAACAGGAAGGTGTTACTATGCTTTCTAGTAGAAATTCTCATGTCCATATAATCACCTTAATCAGGCTTTAGCTTGCATTAGTAGCAGGCTGTTATTGAGATAGAGGCTTCCTTGGAAGGATTTACCCTCTAAAAAGTGAGCATCTCAGCACCAGGGCAAGGATAGTGTGTAGATGAGCTTTCTGAAGTACAGACATCCTCATATGGTTTTAGTCTACATATGATCACTTGTTACTACTTTTTTGAGGTTAATTACTCAATATAACGTAAATCACAAAAGTGGCAGGCACTGTTCCAAACACAACTGACACAAGAATCTTTTCTTCATAATGATAATCTTCACAATGAATTCAAAAGGAAGGGAAGAAAGAAAGCTCCTTAATCTCTACCAGGAAAGAAAAAATTACAAAAAGAAAAAGAATTCAGAGCAACTTTTATAGAATTTTTCCGTCCTATGTTTGGAATAAATTAAGAGGGAAAAAAATCCTTTAAAATCCTTTAGATTAATTTTTCATTCTATACTATGCTTAAAAAAAACCAGAGGCATATGCAATGACACCCAAAACAAATACTTCCTATTGAGCCAATTTGAAATCTGCTGACACATGATTTTAAAAAAATCATTCAAATGATCTACATTATTTTTATTTCTTATTTAATGGAAAAATGCTAAATATGTCCTCTCTATCCTTTATACTCTCTCTTTTTAAAAATCTTTCTTCTTTTTCTTTGTGAAAATGCTTACCTCACCAGGTCGAATTTTGATGTAGAAGTTACTTCTTTTGTATGAAATCTTGAGGATCTTGGGCCAGGCAAAACGGTTTATTCTCAGCCTGTCCCTATATATGAGAAGGCCATTGGCACAAACACCCAGCATGATGTCAATGCCTTCTGAATCCTGGGCAAAAAAAGGAAAACATTAATACATAGAAATCTGCCAGTACAAAATCTGTTCCGGACTAGCAGGCTCGAAACCTGCAAACCTGATTGGCCCGCTGATAGCCGATCATGATTGGTCGCCATAGACTGATGCGATTGGCCAGTAAACGGGCTGCCACGATTGGCCCTGCCAAGAGCGGCAAACTCAAATCGCCTTCATTGGCTGCCTAGCCGCAGCCAGCCCTATATAAGGGGCTGCTGCGGCTGGGATTAGTTGCTCAGATCTGAAGTCACTAATAAAGAGCTGTTGTTGCTATCTGAGTCTTGCCTCCGTTCTTGAACCATCCTCCCAGATCTAACAAAATCTTTTTAAACAGACAAGAAACCAAGGTTAATACATCTAAGGGGCAAGGACCCTTAAATACCAAGACATTTCCCACTTAAATACTAAGTAGGCCGCTGTTTACCCCCACACCTGTTAGGATTATCATGTATTTAAAAACTAGAGGAAGAAAATACTAGCTGATCCTTTAAAAGTTTAAGAGCTACGGATTGTACCAAGACCTCCTGGAAAAAAAAAAACAGGGATACCTCAGGTAGGAAATATGTTTCCCTGGAATAGGGCATTAAATTGATTGACATACATTTTTTTTATAATTTCCAGTGCTTGCAGCTTCATGTGGCTACTTCTATTCATTTCCAGACATAGTTGCACAGTTCCATTAACTCCAATACTCCACTAAAGCAGGTTTCCCACCATGGTTTTTTTCCCCCCAAGTGTGTATAAATCTCAAACCATCCACGAAGGAACAAGGAAAGGACATATAGGTTCTAAAACCTTGTCTTTTATTAATATTAAAAACAATTTTCTTGTGCTAGGAAAAGCAAGAGCTCATGACACAAGTCCATCAATCATTGCTGCTCCTCATCTATAGTACTTGAGGTATTCTGGCTTGTATCCTAATTCTATACATAGAATTCAGTGAATTGGGCAAAGACTATTAAAACTGGTGCAGAATGTAAGCAGACATGCATTCATAATTGTGGATCAGGGATGGAACACTTTCTCTTTTAGCAGTTTTTCCATTTCTTTTAACTTAATAGAGAAGGGGTGTCAAACTGGATTTCTTCAAGGGCCAGATCAACATTGTCGTTCTCCTCTGCAGGCTGGCAGCGGGGGGGCAGGGGACAGGGTGGGAGTTCGGGGGAGGGTGGCACGGATGCTTCTGCAGCACCCTGCCAGCCAAAATGGAGCCTGTGCCTTGTTTTTGCCTTCCATGGCTCCTGCAGCACTCTGCCAGCTGAAAACAAGAGCATGTGGCCTGTTTTGGGGCCATTTTCAGCCCATTTTTGGCCTGTTTTGGACCTGTTTTTTGGCCCATTTTTCAGCCCCTTTTCAGCCAGCAGAATGCTGCAGAAGGCCATGGAGGGTTAAAACAAGGTGTGTGGGGGGCACACGTGGCCTGTTTTAGCTGCCAGAGGTACTGCGGGCTGGTCCCTTGATATTTCCAGGCCAGCCCTGCAGATTGGATTTAAGTACCCCATGGGCCGGATCCAGCCTGTGGGCCTTGAGTTTGATACCCCTGTGATAATAACATTTTGCCTTGAGTTTGACACCCCTGTGATAATAACATTTTGATAAACATTTGTGCTCCAACTTTTAACTCTTCTGCTACTTGTGCTACCTGTCCATTAAAGAATAAAAGTCATCCAACAATCACTGTGCTAAAATAACAGTGTGGAGGACAGGCTTTATATTTTTTCAATAATTATATATGCTGTCAGTCATTAATGGGAAATGGCTTCAAAATTAACTTCTTTGTTGTGGAGCAAAAAGTAAGGGAATAATGCAGTAACTAATACAGAAAGAAAAGGGGAAAATCTAAGGAACAGAGAGGATAGGAAGTATAAAATATGCAAAAAATAAATGAATAGATTTCATAATGGGACTTTTTCAAATAAAGGATAACATGTTTCTAGATTTCTCTTTAAATCTTTCATTAAACAAAATTCCACTTTTCAGTCCATTCTTACTGAAAATATTCCACAGCATAGTTGCAAAATACCATCTTTTTAAAACTCAACTGAATTTAAATTTAAATTTCTAAATTTTTGTCTCTAGATATCAAAATAGCTATTTCTATGATAGCAACTATATAATTTAATTTTAAATGAACTAATGTCTTCTGCAGAATTTGTCAGAAGACAAAGTAATATTTTATGTTTAAGCATAGTATCTCAAATGAAAGAACACATAAGTTTAAGTGAGTGCCACATAGTTTAAGCAAGTCTTTAAAAAGGAGTAACTATTGCCTCAGAATAATCCAGGATTTCTCTCACTTAAATGCCCTCAAAACTCTACCTTTTTACTAAGAATACCTTAGCATGATGCAAGTCAACTCCATACATTGAAAGTTTCTTGGCATTCTCCAGGAAGTGAATCTCTGCCTCGCCAGGTGTCATACCCCTTTAGAAGAAAAATAAGACAGAAATGGAAGTAATAAAAAAAAGAAAATTACACACTTTGATGAGCAAAGGCTGACATTTGTATAAAAGGCTTTTTTATGATGAATATAGGAAAATATAGGTTATACAAATCTTTTCAAAAACTTGTTTGCTCTTGATATTAGCAGTAGTATTAGTTATTCACCGGTAAGTCTTATGTAGCTCCATTATACGCTCTTCCAATTCTCTGGTCTGATTTGGAGCAAAACGTAGTTCACCAACATAATTGCCAACATGTTCTTCAGTATCATAATCCCCCAGTTCAGCTTGTACAGCATAGGAGCCTAACAGTGCATGTGTTACAAAAGAACACGGTAGACGTCCACTGATAATATCTGCTCGAAGTTGCAGACACAAGTAATACCTAAGGAGAGGAAGAGGTCAGAAAGTTGAAATGTCCATAAGAAAAGCAAACAGCTAAGGGATGATCATGTATCCAGACAAGCCTGTTTAATTAGTAATCCACCATTAATTACAGCATGTCCATTTTACACAATAGTCTTCTGCGGAATCTGATAAACTCAGCAATTGCAATTCTAAATTTTAGTAACTTAAATTTGGGGATCTCTTGAAATGAGGGATAGTCAACAAAGCTCACCAGAAACTTGATGAACATCCAGTTTAATTAATCTCATGTGACTAAAAAACTGTACCATTTAAGTAAGGCCACAATATTTGGGTGATGGACTATTATTGTAACCTTCAACAAGGAAATACAGGGAATTAATGCTACAATGAAGGCTTTTTGCAAAACAAGTTACCTCCATTTGGCAGTCAAATAGGAAACAGCACCAAGGTATCTGACCCAAACTTTCCCTCCCCTTCAATGCCAAGAATGCAAATGATTATCAGGACAAGGAGCATAGTGGCTCCTATGGTTAGAATGCTGGGCTGATGATCGGCAGGCTTGTGTTTGAGACCCAGTTGCTGCCACAGGACAGGCTGAGTTCCTATCACTTGTTTCAGCTCTTCCTGACCCAGCACTTTGAATGCGGGAGACCACATAGATGGGTACTACTTAGGAGGGATATGAAAGGAACCCCCCAATGGGGTATCCCCCAGGCAACAATGTTGTCATTGGCTAGTCATTTCAACCTGGAAGTGCTTCAGTGCTCCCAACATGACTGGAGTAATATTATTAATTATTTATTATATATATTTTTTGCTTCTGGAAGAATGTTCCTTCTTTCCAATGGCCAATATTTGCAATAGGAATAACAGCCTGGGAAATTGTCATGCTATTTTATTTAGTTCTTGGAATACTTCTGAGTAAATAATGAGATACAGGAACATTTTACTGAACACAAATTGGCATGGAAGTTGTGTATTTCCAGCCTTTGAGATTTATTCCACACAGATAAAATAAACTATGACTTCATTAACTATTTTCTTTTTAAGAGAGTTGTGTAAGAATTGGCCAAGACAGATGCATTTTTACTTACCTTGTGATGTCCTCTGTGAGTTGGGCTGGATCTGGTGGATAAAATTTGACTGTGAAGGCAAAATTCCAGGGGCCACCTAAATAAGTGACAGAGAGAGAGAAGGAAAGAGAAAAATATTAGGGCATACGTTTAGGTGATGCATCTTTGATTGACTCTCTCACACATAGTTTTTATTTCTTTTTTTTAGTTGCCTCACATTCCCCTTTACTCTAAATCTCTAAGGGAACTATAAAGGACTTTAACAAGACACACTGCGCAGAATTACTGGAGATCCCTGCTTCCCTGGATCTTAATGGCTGAGGCAAACAGCAGGTGTACTTGCCTTTTAAGGTTTGCAATAGGCAAAAGAGTCTTTGCTGTGCAGAGAGACAGTCACTTTGGTGTTGCCATGGAAACAAGCTCAAATTCTCAAGAGAGCTTGCTGTTGGGGAAAGACCTCTAGCAACATCTCTTCAAGACACTGCATCATGAACCTATCCCGTAGCCAGTTATTTTAGAAGAAAAAGTCACTAAGAAGTATTTCACCAGCTCTTAAAATCTAAGATACAAACCTGAAACCCTCTTGCTCACGGGTAACCCTCTTGCTCACACGTATCATTATTTGCTTTACCTTTGTGAAGCAAAACTGTGCTTCATAAAGTTTGTGTGACACAGCTGAGTCTCATGGATATTATTTTATGGAGTTGGTAGGAAAGAAACCCTGCCAATAGATTAGACAGAATAACTTTGGGGTCTTTTCCGTCTCTGACCATTACAAATGGAATCGCTAGGATTCAGAATGGTACCCATCTAGAATGGATACATCCTTCCCCTCTGATAAATTGAAAAAAGGGGATGGGACTGACAAGAATTCTGTGCTTTTTTTTAATGAGGTTGCTCTCAATCATCTCTGGGAAAATGATCTCTAAATGCAAAGAGAGCAGGGCTAGAAACTGAAAGCCAGAGACTCAAAGCTTCTCTCCTCAGGCAGAATAAATCTAGTTTTGTCAGTTATTCCAAATCTACCTGCCAGAAAATCGGTAATGGAGATTCATGTGAAATACATACAGAGGCCCAGAAACACCACATTCATTTGAATAGCCTATAGTAGTATATTTCAACAGCCAGTAAAATCATTGTAGTTCTGTACAGTATAGAGCATTTCAAATGAATGTTAATAATTTACACAGTGATCTTATTATGCAATGTGCTTTATATTAAGTTCTTGACTATATACTTTTGAATGATGGCTTCCAGATTGAGAAGCCCTAAATATTCATGCTTTGAACTATTCATTGCGAATCTGTTTCTTTATTTCTTTAGAACAAATTCTTTGTTTGTATGGGCACAAAGAAGGCAGCAAAAATTAAGAGCTATGTGAATTGCATTAACTTCTTTCCAAAGCTTATATAGCAACAGATGCAAAACAACCACCACCACCCCCTTTGACTGATCACGCAGTGAAGAACAGTAATACTTTCTAACAATACTTTGTTAGACTTTACAGAGCTTCACAGAACCAGAGAAAGTCTTATAAGGCCCACTATTTCCTTCCAAACTTTTAGTTAATATAAGATCTCTAGGAGCAGCTATGCTTACAAAGTAAGTTTTATTATATTAAGTTCTTGACTATATATTTTGAATGATGGCTTCCAGATTGAGAAGTCTTAAATATCCATGCTTTGAACTACTCACTGCGAATCTGTTTCTTTATTTCTTTAGAAGGATCCAGCCAATTCTGAAAAAGTATGAGAACACATTAAGAGGAAATCCTACATAACCACAACATCTGAAACAGACAAACCACAAACTTTATTTGAACCAGCCCAGCATACCTTCTGACTATCTGAATCGCAGAACGTGAGTCCAAAATAATCCTTCTCCAACAGGTTAAGGTGCTCACAGACCAGGTCAAAGAGTACTTGACCCCGACCATGTTTCTGTATGGACACAAACAAGGCAGCAAAAATTAAGAGCTATGTGAATTGCATTAAAATCCTTTCCAAAGTTTATATAGCAACAGATGCAAAACAGCTGCCCTTTGACTGATCACGCAGTGAAGAACAGAACCAGAGTTGCACAGAACCAGAGAAAGTCTTATAAGGCCCACTATTTCCATCCAAATTTTTAGTTAATATAAAATTTCTAGGAGTAGCTATGCTTACAAAACAAGGTTTATTAAAATGTTGCATACACATGTACAAACTTGAACATTTTTAACTTTGAAATGAATTGTTTAAAAATCCATCAGGCCTGATCCTATTTAGTTTCCAAGGTCGTATCCAAGCAAGCTCAGCCAACCCTGCCTTGTCTCAGGTAGCACTTCTACAAGAATTAACTGGAAAATTCCAAAGATGTGGGTTAAATTAAGAACAAGAAAGCAGTAATGAAAAGCTACTTCAATAACACTGCCAAAAACCTCTAAGAATCAAGTTCAACTCAAGTGCATCTTTACCTTGTTACAGAGATACATATTCTTTATCTGACATTGATCAAAATATAGACATGTAATTCCAAGATGATTTTCCTGTAACTGTCCCACTTGGAAGTCAAATTGACATACTCTGAGGATAGTAACACCATGACCCAAAGTTTGAACTACTAATATGATTCTATGTCACAACATGTCAGCATGTAGGGTCTGAGAATGAAAACTAATGGCTACATCATCAAGAACCAAAAGCAATTAACACTTCACAAAAACACTTCCATTATATAAAGAACCTTCTTATTAACCTGTGCAAAAAAAGGTACTGAATCTGTTTAGGCATTTAACATGAATCTTTTTTTTTCTTTTTAAATTAAAAGGAGATTTAGGAGATCAAATTACTGTGAACAAGACAGTCAAACTGGTAACAAATAATTATGTTTTCTAAGCTGCCTCTTCCCATGAAGTTTGCTATGCTGCCTCATCATTGGTGTCGATTGTTCTTGAGAGGGATGAGAGGAGAACACCAAGAATTTATGCCAAAAGTATGTACTTCCAGCAGGATCATCTAAGGCAGGGGTGTCCAACCTTTCACCTTCCCTGGGCCACATTAGAAGATGAAAATTTGGTTTGGGCCGCACATAAAATAAAATAACAGTAACAATACCCGATCATCCCAAAAAACCATAGAAAACATAGTTAACATATTAAATTTATTTGGAAATGAAGTTAGTGAGATGTTTTTATTATTTATTATTAATTATTTATTAAAAATTATTTATTTGTTATCATGGTTTTTTATCACAGTTTTTTTATCACAGTTTATTTTCCGGCCAAATTTTGCGGAGGGGGGGGGAGAAAGCAGCGGCAGCGGTGGGGGTGGTGGGGGCAGAAGTGGCGGCGGTGCCGGCGGCGCCAACAGCAAGAGGTGGTGCTCTGACGGCGCCCACCTTTTCTCTTGCTGCTTGGCCTGGCGCTCGCCTCGCCCTGCCTCGTGCCTGCCTCTCCTCCTCCTTCTCGCTGGCTCTGGCACGATGGTTGGGGTGGGCACTGGGCCGCATTACGAGGCAACCTGGGCCGCATGCGGCCCGTGGGCCGCGGGTTGGACAAGCCTGATCTAAGGCATAAAGGTCATCCTAGTTGTCCTGCTGAAGGAAGCAGACAATTATATTGGGCAGCAAAGATATAAGAAGTTGCTGAAGGAGGAGGAAGATCACTTTACAGCAGTGACAACAGCAAAAGAATCATTTCAAACTGCAGTGCAATGGTAAATTATACCTGCATTTTATCAAAAAAATACATGCATGTATAGAGGGCATTCAACATGTGACAGAGTAAGAGTAAAGCTTCTTTTGAATTCCTAATGATGTTTATGATATGGCTAAATATGCCAATATTAGTTTCTGATGTGGCTCTGCAGGAACTAAAATCTGAAGCTGCAGGGGAAAATGGAACTATATTTAGACTAAATTAATGGCAAAAGGTATAACAAAACAACTATAGAACTGATAATGAAGGCACTGAACTAAATTAAAGGAATTATCCCTCAAGAAATATACTGTATACTAATACTTAGTAAGGTAGCAATGAAAGTCTTGGAAAAGATATAGTTTAGAAGCCACAGATGTCTATATCTACAAGATCAGGATTGTTCCAGCAATGGTTTTCCCTGTGACAGTGTATGGAATTGAAAGATAGGTGGACTATTGACACTTTTGATTAAGGTCATTTTTGAACTTTGATGCTGGGGAAAACTCCAAGTATCATAGGTAGCCAATAAAACAAATAAATGGATCATAGACCAAATCAATCCAGTTTTCTCACCTGAGGCATAAATGACCTAATTCAAATTATGACATTTGGGAGACATTAGGAAGAGATTTAGTACTCGTGAGAAATCTATAATGCTGGGGAAAAAATAGAAGGCAAGAGAAGAGAATGACCAGCAGAAATTGAATTAATCTAACAGAAATAATAATCCATCTTGGTAGGCATCCTTATTTGGTAAATCTTTTATTTAAAAAAATTAATTAAAAAAACTTATTTGGTAAATCTTGGTAAAGTAAGAATAGCAAAGCTAAGCAGACCTCAGCAAGTGTTCATCAATGGGTAAATAACAACCAGTTTTCAGAAAATGGTAATTAATGTTATGCCTTCTTTCAGGCTCACATCTCTGGCTTTGAAGGTCTTTTAACAATCTATTCCAGGCCATCCCTCCACCCACTTCTTTTGCTTAAAGGGAACTTTCATCTCTATAACATTCAGTTCCTCTGCAATAAGTCAAGCCTCTCAGAATCTCGCTGTTCAAGATGTCAGCTAAAGAGCCTGACTGCAGAAGCACTGAGATCAAAGGCCCAGCGAGGCTCAGATCCTTTTAACTTTCCTCCCAGTCCCTTAATGTTTTGTTCTTTATTTAGTTATTTGTACAAATTGTACAAAAGCAACTTCCAATCCATATTCAACAGATGCCAATAACTTTTTTAAAAAAGCATGGCACCCAAAGATAGGGAGGTGTTTATAACACTGAACTCCGAAAATCCTATTTAAACAAAGATACGCCTATATCTTTACTTATCAAAAGGCTCTGTTGTATGTCCTTATTTAGTACAAGATAGGCAATACAATATCATTGGGGAAGATTCTGGATATTTGATAAGACAGAATCATCTGAACGTATACAGGTATCAATTTGGGGGTTGAACCAATATAATGAGCATTAACATGGCATGATAACAGTATTCCAGTATTTGAGGGGCCAAATTATTTTCCAATGCACCAGAGAGCAGGACAAGACACAATGGATGGAAACTAATCAAACAGAGAAGAAACTTAGAATTAAGAAGAAACTTCCTAATAGTGAGGACAATTAACCAGTTGAACAGCTTGCCTTCAAAATTTGTGGCCGCTCCATCACTGGATTCTTTTAAGAAGAGATTGGACAATCACTTATCCAAACTGGCACAGGTCCATGATGGCAAACCTATGGCACGCATGCCGGAAGTGGCAGAGACACTTCTGCCGGCATGCAAGAGGTCACCCGGAAAAGCCCCACTGTGCATGCATGCATGCCCCCCGCCAGCCAGCTGATTGTTGGGTATCTACCGTGCATGCGTGGGGGGAGTCATGTGCGTGGGAGACATGTGTGCATGCGCAGAGGAATGGGACATGCGGGGGCTTGCGTACGCATGCACTGAAACCTGCAGTGTAAGGGGGGTCACGCACACATGCGCAGAAACACATAGTGAATACACAGGGGGCAGGGGGAGTCATGTGTACATTGCATCATGGGTGCGCGTGCGCACTTTTGTCACGCAACATGGAAAAGATTCGCCATCATGGGTATAGGTTCTCCTGCTTGAACAGGGAGTGGACCTCCAAGGTCCCTTCCAGCTCATTGTATTCTATTCTAACATCATCTTTTCATATATAACTTTTTATTAAAGTTTAAACATTCAAAGATAAAAAAATAATGCGAACTAAGAAAAATTAAAAAGTTAAAAAATGGAAAAGTGCTGATAAAAAAGGGGAGAGAAAAATAGAAAAGGGATATATAAAAATGACTTCTCCCTTCATCAACACAAGTACAAATGATTCCTAACTAAAGGGAAATCTCTTCTTTCCATATTCCATCTCTTATCTATAAACATCATAAAGCCTCATAATTCAATCTTAATCAGCAAAAGTCTGTTAAAAGCTACTAGAAGTAACAATGCATTTTTATCTTAATCAAAGAAATCAGCTTCACAATCCTTTACTTTTAACACAGTAACTTATTACTTTCTCTAAAAATAGAACAAAAAATTTCTTCTTCCCTCATCTTATAAACAAATCTTTAAAGCCTCATTATTCAAGAAAAATCCTGAGCTATCAGAAGCAAGGAATTTATTAAAAATCTTAATCTTTAATCCCTTCAAAATACTGACTCATAAATTAATTTCTTTTCATTTTCTCTTTGCCTCATCTTAGAAACTCTTTTCCAAGTTTAACATATACTAGAAATAATAATACATATATTTAACAGAAAATCTCATATTTTACCTACATATAAATATTTAAAGCTGATCATTTTGGTCAGCAAAAGCCCATTAAGAGCTAGCCTTCCTTCCTTCCTTCCTTCCTTTTTCTTTCTTTCTTTTTCTTTCTTTCTATGCATGAATGATCAACTAAATCAACATCTGTTGCTATTTGTTTGTTTATTATTACATTTATTTGCCACTCGTCTCACCACGAGAAGATTCTGGGCAGCTTACACTAACTTTATATTCCTTCTTTTTGCTTTTAAAAATCTTGATGTTTATTTCTTTAAAACATTGTCCCAAAGCCAATTTCTTTTCATTCCCACTTTCTTTTTTCAGGAATTCCTTCTTAAATATAGCACATCTCTTTTCTCAGTCCAAGGTTATCCAAGTTGGTCTTCTCATTCATTATTTGTATGTCCCTTTGAATTATTAAAAAATCAGTTGGCTCATTTCTATGTCCTATGAAACATCTTTTTCCATATCATACTTGTAT